AAGCATGTATATAAAACTCAAAAGTACTCCTGTATTTAGGATAAAATAAAAGCCTGGCATATGCCAGAAACTAGCTGGGGCCTGGAGTTTGGCAATGGAGCCACAGTTAGCAGTTTGTAAGCTTTGAAGTGAAAGAGTTTTTTCTTCCCTTTTACTAGCAATGAAAAGAACTTTAAAGAAAAAGCACCACAGTTGGTGAGAAGCATTTTCCATGGTATGATGTAATGTCTTCAATGTAATTCGCTGTTTAGAAAACTAGCTGTGTTGAGATGCTCACCAGCAGTACCTGGCTGTGTTGTATACTAGCTCTGCCCATGAGAATTCAATCCATCATGGATGTTTTCAGTGGACCATCTTTTCCTATCACTATCACATCCAGCACAAGCTAGAACATAGCAACAGCATATTTCAGTATTTCTGAGAAGTGGTTTCCAAACTTTACAGGGAAGAATGGCCTGCGGATTTATTAAAATTCAGATGCTGAGACTCCATACCCAGAGATTTGGATTCAGTGTGTGTGTCTGCATGCACATATTTTTTTTTTTTTGGTGGGGGGAGATTACCTTACCAAATAACCCAGATGATTCAAATACAAGTAGTCAATGGACCTTTCTAAGAAACATCTCATCTAGAACTTTATAATGTTAAAATTTTTTGGCCAAAACAATTGGGAGTTGAAATCACAGCAACATTTCTGTGTATAAAGGTTCAAAAATCATTTGTCACTCCAGGAAAAATGAATGGCATGCTTGTTTACAATTTCTCCCAGCTTATCTCATTATTTCTTCACTTATATCTTCACTTCAATCCTTTGAGGGTAGATAATCTTATTCTGATTTTGGATTGAGAAATACCACAGGTTAAGTAATTTTCCCAAAGCTACGTGGCTCTAGCTGGGGCTTGAGCCCAAGTCTGACTTGGGAGCATAAGTTGAGTATGATGGCATCCCTCAGATACCCCTGAAGTCAGAAGCCCTGGGAAGTGCATTTTAAATAAAAAGAAGCACGTTTCCTGATCCACTTTTCAATCTAGTTTCCCTCAGCTCTGTAATTTAAAGCTCTATGTCAACAGGCCACTGTGGGGAAGTTGTGAACCAAAAGAACCTTGTTACTTTCCACTTTCAAGAGTTTGCACCATTAAGAAGATGCTTTATATAGTGTGGTTGTGCTACTGGGGGAAGAACCACACATGGTCCTTATGGAAAAATATCATCACCTCTTGTCTGTAGCTGAGGGTCTTAGCATTAACCAGGACATGAGCTGAATTTTTAATTTACTGTAGGCCTAAGTGTGGGCCTGGAAAAATGGAAAAACAGGGTATCCCTTAAGACTCTGTGAATATTGCATATTTTCAGGGGAGGAAGTATGCACATGACTTCTTTGATTTTAAAAACTTTGAATGTGACTTTCTGGCTTCTTTTCTGGTAGGGATTCACATATCATATCATGAGGTGCCCTAGGAAAAATAAAAACTCTTTGACAGTAGACAACAACTCTTTAATTCTATAGTCCTTCCTTTCACTTGCCCTTGAGGGAAAACCTGCATTCTGCCCCATGAGAAAAACTCCAAATATAATGGACTAGACAAAGAAATACTTAGCCACATTGGTTTAGGAAACCCCAGCAGAAACAATGCATCTTTTCAACAGTCTAAGATCTTATGAAGAGACAGAATGCATTGTGTGTCAAATCTATCTTTGGCTGTGGGGTGAGAATGCTGTTTGCAATTAGACCCTAGCTTAATTCTGGAATTTCAAAGAACCATGCTCATTTGCCAAAAATCTTTTGCATAGTCAGTTACACAAAACTGGTGATAAAAACTACCAGAAGCATTCTCAACATAGTAGTTTTTAAAAAGCAGTTTACCCTAGAACATTCCTCCTCACTCCTAAGCACCAACCAACCCAGAACCCAAGGGATAGAAAGAACTTTTTTTTTTTTTTTTTAATGGTACTGGGATTGAACCCAGTACCTGAGCTACATCCTAGCTATCCCCTCCCTTTTTAAGATATTGTTTTGAGCCAGGGTCTTGCTAGGTTTTTAAATTGCCCAGGCTTGGCTCAAACTTACAATCCTCCTGCCCAGGCTCCCAGAGTGCTGGGATCACAGGTGAGGCCGACCACACCTACTGGCATAAATTCAATAGTCTCCCCTACAAGAGTTGATTCCTTTTACTGAGCCTAGTTGCTATCTTTGTTTTGATGGTATTTAGTTCCTCCTGGGTTAGCAGAAAGCTTTTCTGAAATGTCAGGTTGGTCTTACCTGCCCGTTCTCCACACAAGTGATTCTTCCAAAATGTTAAAAAATATTTAATACCACCCTGCCATTTTCAAAGAAGAATCAACAAACTGTTGAATCAGAAGAGAGTGGCAAATAGCAGGAAAAATTGCTAAAGCTGGCTATGAGATGGAAGACACATGTTGTTTTCTCACACCCTTTCCCCACTCAGGGCTCCCCTATAGAGAAAGACTAGAAATGATAACCAGCTCTTTAACTGATAAAATCTGCATCCATCCTCTCATTCCATGCCTAATGAAAAAAATCTTAGTTTTACCTGGCTAAGTTGTGTTTTAAAACAACGTCATTTGCCTCCTGTTGAAACCAATCAAACAAAACAAGTTTTTATATGAAAGTGAAATGTATTTTAATATGATCACTTCTTTACTCTTGGATGGGGGGAAGGGCTCACTAAATTTCTGTTGTTTAAAAAACCCCACAAAGATGGTTAGGCAAAATCACTTAAGGACAGGGGTACAGTCTGAGTAATACATGGTGAGGCTCAATCATCTTGGAGGGCACTCACACAAACTAAGACGGCTATCACATCACCACACCATATAATCTCATGGCTCTGCCTCTAAGTGCATGCTGTCTGCTGTCTGAAATGTCATTATGCATGGCATGGCAGTATGTGAATGTCACCATTAAGCTGAGCCTTGGAACTACACAGACCTGCAAGCTTCTGTGACTGGTCCAGTGGTAAGGTGGGCATATTAGTGACTGCATGATAAGCTTATCCCTTGGTAGTGTGAAGGGATTGACAGTCAGCAACCAGCCTAATCCATGCATGTCAGAATCAGAGTTACTGAAGCAAATGTACACAGAGGGGGCTCACTAGAGCAGCATTGCTGAGGACACAGTGGGTCTTTCAAAGGAATGGCTTTGCCTGCCAGTCACACACCAACTGACCCCACCAAATCAGCTGTCACTTTCCAATTTAGAAATCTGTCCATAGCAATTGGCTGCAGCCCTGTTCTTTGTTCTGTAAAATTCTCCAAATAAAATTGAGGAGAACCACACTTTCTTAGAGGGAGACCACACCAAGCAGCTATTCTAAGCTTCCATGCCTTACTATATGGGCAGGGATATTTTCCATGGTTTGTTTTGTGGGGACAAATCACATTTCTTTTCAATAGAATTGATTTCTTTAAATTCACAAAATACCTTTGTTGAGAAATGCTCATTCTGCTACCCAACAATCTTGTGGGTTCATCTAATTAACGCCCTAAAATTTCCTCTGCCATTCCAGATTGGAAAAAGAATCGAAAGCACATTGTATTTGTCCTTTCTCCTTACAGAAAGCAAAGCTGTATCTGGGAACATGCAAGCCCACTCCTGCAAGACAGGGCTAGCCTGGTCAGCTCCCACATGCATGGATGTCCTGGATACTTTGGGGTATTAGCAAACTGATTCTCAGGTGAAACTACTAGAGAGCATGAATCAAGACTTGGGGAGGTCCAGGAATTGTGTTCAGTTCTGCACAGTTAGCCAGAGACAGCAGCCAGGTGTGCTGTCTACAGCCTGTCCCTAATATATGTACTTTGTGGGCAGGAAAACAATGGAAATCCCTGACCCATAATTCTTTTCTTCCTACTTCTGGTTTGGTCCTCCAGCAACATAAGCATGCTCCCACAAGCACAGGTGGACAGATCGGTGCAAATACCCACCCTGCTGTGCACACACCTTGGCAGCAAATGAAACTGAGCCATAAGCAATGACAGTCTCATTGTTGACTGAGACCTACAGATGTATACACTGGCCTGTATTTGGGGAAGGGCATGGAAGTCCTGACTGGTGGGATTTTGGTGCTTTGAGAAGGAAACTCAGAGTCCTGGGAGCCAGAGAATGGACCTGAAATGGGGGCTGGCCCTGCACACTTTGGTGTTTCAGTTGGCAAAGAGGAACATGCTCAGCCAGGAAGGCCTAGTAAAGTAGAATCCCCCGAGAGCTCCAGGTTTGGGGCAATTCCTTAGTGGGGGCCTAAGGGTGTGGTGACCCTAGGATGAGGTCTTTGGAGTAGGCCTGGAGGTTCTGGGCCTGCACAGCTTTTGTGAACTGAAGAGTCTTGGATCACAGGGTGGCTGAGCTCCTTTCTTTCTACACCCAATACAGAGGATTGTATGATCCATGTTGTCATTGTTGGTGGTCCAATTTCAGACACTGGACAAAGATATTATAAAAGAAAATGCAGCAAATATTCAAATGAGCAGAAAGGCCTATAATTTTAGGCTTTCTAGTTCAAAGAATGAACAATGTGAGATTCTGGTTCATACACAATCTGATTAAGAGCTGTTTATCTTTCACAGGTGACAAATTACCAATGAGGCAATTAATCCTCAGTTAACATTGAATCTGTAATCCACATAATGACTGGATTATGAATGAGTCAAAACAGCTCTGATTTTCCAAGGGCCATAAACGGTACACATCATTTAATTAACACATAACTTATAATGGAAAAGTGACCTGCTGGGAAAGCCAGAGAAGTTCAGCTGAGAATTTTCACAATACTTTAAAATTTCCAATGCCATTTTTGTGGACTGGACAACCACTTCCAGGTGCTTGGATTTGTTGACCTCCTGATAAGTTTTAATGGGAACAGGTGACAACAGCTTTTTCTGGAGTTCACTATTATAAGACTTGTAAAACCCACTCACTCACACATGTGCAGGCACAGTCGGTATCAGACACAGAGGCACACTCACAGTTCTCAGTACTGACCTGCCCTTTCATGTCTGGAGCAATGGGGATGGTGGGCCAGATGGTTGAGTAGACACCAAAAAACACAAGCCAGATCAGCATGCTTCCCCACACGGCCAGGTGACTGAACTGTGGAGGAAACAGATGCGTGATCAGGGCCGAGATCCACCTAAACTCTACCTGCTCAGAATCCCAGCGTCCAAGCTGTGGAAAGATTTCCTGATGGAAAGATTTCAGCCCCTAGCTATCGCAGAATTTTCTCTAATTTTCTTGCCTCTAAATTTTTGGCAATGAATTTGAGTACTTCGTGGCCCCAGACTATTCTGAAGGTCAAAGTTCTTCTGTGTCACAGCTAACCTTCCTCTGTGATTCAGGTCCTCGTTCCGGCAGGCCCTGCTCAGCTCCCTTCAAGGTTTGCTCTACCTTGGGGCTGTGTAAGGCAAGAGCACATGGCTCTAGTGAGTGAGTGTCAGAACAGACAATGAAAAAGATGCTTTCATTTATCACTTGGAGACTTTTATTTCTCTGTTCATTTGGCAAAGTCGTTTTTTAAAAACTGAAATGGATATTGCTCTTTTTAAGTCTTTAAAAATTTTATTAATGTATGTTAAAAGTGATATTCTAATTGTACATGTTAATAGGGTACAGTGTGGCTATTCCAGTGCATGTATACATTGTATAATGATAAGATCAGCCTACTAGCCATACTCATTATCACAAATATTTATAATCGAACTTTGACTTACGAACTCGTTTTCAAGGGCTGGTTATAACTCAAGTTGGTCAATTGAAGACTCAGGCTCCTCTGCACAGCCTTCAAAGTCCCCTGTATACAGGCAGATCTCAGTGTCCTTAGAGAGGCATTGGCCCGGGATTTTTCAAGCCCACACAGGAAAGGATGTTGTAATGTTCCTTCCAGAACTCTTTAAGCATTAAATCTGTATCTGAGACCATCTGGAAGCACAAGCAGCTGGCATTCGGGTTGTAACTCAAGACTTTGTTTGTAAGTAAAAACTAAAATTCTGGTCATAACCCAAGTTGTTCATATGTCAGGCCAATTATAACTTGAGGGTCCAGTGTATTGTTTCTTTGTGTTGGGGACATTCAAAACTTTTCTTCCAGTCACTTTGAAATATACAACTAATTATTGCTAACCATAGTTATTGTACTTACTATAGAACAACAGAAATTATTCCACCTATCCAACTGCACTCCTACACATTGGCTATTCCCTCCCTTTCCTTCTCTTTCCCCTATTCTTCCCAGGCTCTGGCAACGACTATTCTATTCTCTACTTCTTTGAGATAAATTTGGATATCATATTTTAATGCCTTTGTAAGTATCTACTGAATTGTTAATTTTTTCCTCCTTTGTGTTTTTTTTTTTTTTGTGGGGGGTACCAGCGATCAAACTCAGGACCTTACATTTCTGAGGCAGGCGCTTTGCCACTGAGCTAAATCCCTGGCCCATCTCCTTTGTGTTCTTAATATGATAATCCTTGAGTTCTTCCTTTGTTTTATCAATTCATCACAATCCAATGCATTAGCAAGTTCTACTTTTTAAAAATACCTGCTTTAAAAAAAAATTACTTCCAGAATTTATTTACAATGCAACATTCCTGGCTAAGACACCATCATCTTTCACCTGGAATAATCGCCACTGATCTTCACAGATTCCCTGGTTCCACGCTGACCGCCCATACCCACCCATCTTCTTAGTAGAGCATGAGGTAAGTCTCTATGAAAAACAGTCAGGACTTGAAACTCAGAGACAAACATGAAGCATATGCTGTATCCCTCAAACCTTGGAAATATCAAAACACTTAAAATAGGGGACCGATAAAATAAAGGTGGAATATCTAGGAAACTTAATATTCTTTAATCCTGAACAAATTTTTTTTTTTTGTAGAAGTACACTTTAAGGAATGGAAAATGTTCCTGATACATTTTTAGGGAAAAAAGATAATAAAACTATTCTATACTGCATCAACTTTAAAAAACGTACACATATGTACACACAGCAAAGGCTTAATAGTGTGTCTTAGTAGTAAAATTATATGAAAATACAAATTTTGTTTTTTGTCCTTCTGTATTTTCCACAAATATGTATAGGTGTGTGGGTGTGTATGGATAACAACGAGCACATACACTTGAAATGAGGAGACTCTCAATTGCTTTGAGCTATATTAGGTGACAAGTAAGTGAGACACCAGGAAATGCTGGATTATAAATTTGTTCTAGTAAAGATCAAAGTACAATTTTTACACACAAACTTTAAAATAAAGCAGTGAGATATTTTTTGTTGTTTTGCCAAGGCTTAAAAAGAAATCATAGCTTAAAAAATATCTATACTGGAAAGGGAAGCAATTCCAAAGAAAACTCACTTTAGTCCATGCTGTAGTCTCCAAACCAGCTTTCAGACAAACTGTAACCACAACATACTGTGAAAAGAAAGAGGAGTTTGGAAAAATATGTCATCCTTAGTGCATTAATTTCATTTTGCAAAAGCCCTGGCTCTCTGTTCCTAAGCTGGCTCCTTCATGGCCACCCTGCTTTCAAAGGAGTAACAAAAATGATCGAGTCTTGATAGATACATAGATCAATAACCCCACCTGAATGTAAATGCAATGTATTGAAAACACAAAGTAAAAAGGCAAACAAGCAAACAAAAAACCATATGAAAACAGGGTCATCTCTGTAGCTACATTTCTCAGGCTTATTTTAAGGGAATGAACAGGTAGGTTTATTTCCAGAAAAGCCCATTCTTGGCCAATTTGGGAGAAATCACTTTCCTAAATGCTCTTTACTTTTATAAGTGGATGGAAGTGTTCATTTTAAGAATGAGGAAATCTGCTAACCAGCTGTCCACAAACATGGACTCTGCATGATCTCTGATACACAATGATGTGAGCCCTGGACAGCCATTCTGAACTTTAAAGAATCTATAACATACACAGATTTAAAATAATTATAATGAGAAAGGTCTTACATAAAGGGACTGGATAAGTATAACCCTCACATCCGCCATTTAAGAGTGGCTCAATACAAAGAGATAAACTTACCGTGTAAACAATATTTCCAACAAATAAATAGTCTGTAGCATGACCACTGGACAAGGGAGTATCTGAAAAACAAAGAGGTGGGCCGGGCATTTAGCTCAGTGGTTTCGCCGCCTGCTGCGCAAGCGCAAGGACCCAAGTTCGATCCCCGGTACCAAAAACAAAAAAAACCCCAAAGAGGTTACTTTTAACTTCCAGGGGGCTGAGACAGCAATCTCTTTTATTCAGACTATAAAAGTGGAACTTTAGAAACATCTATCAAAATGGGAAGCATTTCAAAATTCCATTTTGTGTGATTCTAAAGATTCATTCTCTTTGCAACTTCACTTTTTCATTTTATATTCTCTTCCAATGAAGCAAACAAAATAAGGTTTCCAGAAAACAACCTAATAATTGATCTACATTGAAATGTATACTTTATAAAGAGTATAACTTCTATCTGGCTTTAAAAAACAGCAGAAATAAGAACACATTGATTTATCTTAACTAAGTACCAGCAATGAAAGTTTTTCAAGTATTCATCTTTAATTTTTGCTAAATTGGAATTGTGCACCAATCAAAGAAAATAATTACATGAATTCACAATCAATTTATAATGACTGAACTGTATTTTGGGGGGATATTCACTATTCCTGTTCTCATTTTCAGCTACATGAACTTTTGGGGTCAAGCTATAAGGAGAATGCAGGGAATGCAGTGAGAGATGTTTAGAAATCTAAGTGGGACGCTGAAGCTTCAGTAGTCATTTTTTTTCTTTCTTTGCTAAGATGGCTATTATAAGGTATATAATATCTACCAAAGCAGAACTCAAGTAGAAATGTCTGATTCATTCAGCTAGACCAGTTCTGAGAAGTCTAGATCTTATCCTGAGAGGTGAAAGCCTATCTGAGAATCAGAGGTTGTTTCCTTGGATGATACTGCCAACCTCTTTTTAATCTCCTTTATACTCAAATACAGATCTGTGGCCTACAGGTTGAGTATAAAGTTGATGCCTTGGTACTTGTGATTATAGATTCTGGGAGGCATGGCAAGTAAGTACCAAAAAGATGAGTACCAAACTGTTTTGGCTGGAAAGGGAAGAGAGTCATGAGGCAACTGACAGCAGCAAGTTCCAGCTTGTCTGTCAGGTACCAAAGAAACAGGAAGTACTGAAAAAAGGACAAGTACCAGGACAAAATTTTCCTGGAAAAATGGATCAAGCATCAAATTTAAGTATCAAGGCAGTGGACTACCAAGGTATGATTGTATAGGGATTTTGTATTTGACTTTCCAACCCAGTAGCCGATATCCACACATATCTGGGATTATTGATTTGCTCATCTAGTTGTTGAAGAATCCCACCCGTATTAAACAATCAAGAGCTGTTAGTTTTCCTAAAACAATGTAAATGGACTCATATGTAGAATCTGGTCACTGTGGGTCCCTGGGTCCAGCACTGGGGCTCATTTTTTCCTGGGCTATAAATCTGTGGATAAATGAGGAGTAAAGAGCAAAGTGGCGTCAAGGTGGCCCTAAACTGAGAGATTTCTACTGGGTCATGTAAAAGTTACACTAGGGAAAACGAAAGAGATGGCTATGGATTTCAGAAGGAATGATCTCAAAGCTTAGGGGAGAAGTAGTAAAGTGATACAAGAAGGTTAAATAGGGTTGCAGTAAAAGAGAAAGAAGAGGAAAAATTTAAAAAGAGAAAGGCTAAATTAATCTCAAGAAGATAACAAACTCATGTACAAGTTGAACATCCCTAATGTAAAAATCCAAAATCTAAAATACTCCAAACACTAGATGAAACAATTCAATTTTGGATTGGGGATGCTCAACTAGTAAAGTCTCCAAAATCCAAAAAACTCCAAAATCTGAAACACTTCTGGCCCCAAGCATTTTGGATAAGGGATATTCAATTTGTATTAGTAAATAGCTATTCAAAGCTGTTGAGATTTGCTTTTTAGTAACTGGCCCTTGGATTGTTTTAATAATAAATGCAACACTTTTAAAGACATCCTCAAGAAAGAGACACTTGAGGTCAGATGGGCCCATTTCTTGATTTTAACAGATTATAGCTTTGAAAGGATTAATGCTATCTTTTTTATATAATCAACAAAGATTTCCTTAAAGTCAACTATAAGCAAGGGATTATTATAGGATCTGAAGAGAGAAGGTGCCTATTTTCATGAGACTTGCATTATAGCGACGGAAACAGGAAACAAATACATAAACAAATTGATATACAATACAACATCAGGTGTGACAGGTGCTATGAAAAAATGGAAGGCAGAATAACAGAGCACAGAGTGAAAGGGGCTGCTGTTTTAGATAGGGAGGCAAGAGCTGAGTAAATCTGAATGGTGTGAAGGAGTGAGTTAAATAGCTATCAAGAGGATGAATGTTTCAGGCAGAGAGAAGAAAAGCTGCTAAGCGTCTGGATGTAGACAGAACTTGATGCACTCAAAGATCATCATGAAGGCCAGTCTGGGTGGAGACAGCAAGGAAAGGAAAAAGAGTACTCAGACAACGAGAGAGGGAAATTAATAGCTGTGTTAATTGTGACTGGTAACCACAGTAGGATTCTAGGCTGGGAATGAAATGGTACAAGTTAAGCTCTTACAAGAATAGTGCAGCTTTTATGTGAGAATAGATTATAGGGTCTTAGCAGAGAAGGTCATTGAATGCCATGAATGGAATAATCACAAATGCAATGCCAGCTTGGAACCAATGGTAGCGATCCATCAAAGGGACTGATAATGGTGGCCTTGGAGCTATGTGGTCTGGTGTGGTTGCCACAAGCTGAATTTACCGTGATGTCTCAGTTCCTGAACTTAGTTTGTTCCACAAGTTTGGAAAAGATGGCCACATTCATGTTTGTGTGAGAAAGATGGCTGAGGTCATGTTTGTCATCTGATGTGGAGTTTGAACACAGAAACACAATTTTGCCAAATAGTTCTGTTTGCGAACCAAACTGTTCACAAACAAATGTGTTTGTGAACAGAGGCACAACTGTATTGTTTATATTTGATTATTTAAAATAAAATATAATGAAGAATCAGCTTTTGCCAGGGGCTGGGGAGGAGAATGAGGAGTTACTGCTTAATGAGTAGAGTTTCAGTTTGAGGTAATGAAAAACTAGGTGGTGACATTATACAACATGCTCAATGTAACTAATGCCTCTGAACTGTACATGTAAAACAGTCAAAATGGCAAAGTTTATTTTATGCATATTACCATAATAGAAAATTAACAAAGGTGGATCATAGAACCAAAACTATACAACTCTTAGGATAAAACATAGCAGTAAACTTTTCTGTCCTTGATTTAGCAATGATTTCCAAGACATAGGCCTAAAAGCACAGTTGACAAAAGAAAACTACATGAATCAGACTTCATCCAAACTAGAAACTTTTGCACTTCAAATGACACCTTCAAGAAGTGAAGGAAGAACAAGGTATTTACAAATTATATATCTGATAAGGAACTTGCATCTAGGATAAAGAACTCTTAAAACCAAGCAATAACAAGACCATAAAAACCCCACTCAAATTAAAAATGGGGAAAGTATCTTAATAAACATTTTTGAAAAGATGTACACATAATAAATAAGTACATGAGCAGAAGCTGAATATCACTAGGCACCAAGGAAATACAAACTCAAAAGTATAATGAAATATCATTTAATATCCACTAGGATGTCTATAATAAAAAAGGCAAATATAATACCAAGAGTTGATGAGGATGTGGAAAAACTGAAACTTCCACACATTGATGATAGGAAAGTAAAAATTTGCAGACATGCAGATACTTTGGGAAATTATCAGTATTTCCTCAAAAGATTATGCATGTTTATTGTGTCTCAGCTATTCCAGACCTAGGTACATACCCAAGAAAAGTGAGACTGAACAAAATACACAAAAACTTGTACTCAAATGTTCATAGCAGCACTATTCATAATTACTCATGCTCTGCATAGCCTAAAATGATGAATAGCATTATTCATTGTTCACAATAGCCTATTCATAAGACAAATGTCCATCAACTGGTGAATGAGCAAATAAATGTCCATCAGTTGGTGAATGGTGTATAATACAATAGTCACACAGTTAAGTAATACAAAGGAATGAGGTATTGGTGCATGCTATAACATGGAAGACTCTTGAAATCCTTATGCGAAATAAAAGAAGCTAGACATAAAAGACCACATATCATATAACTATTTATATAAAATATCCAGAATTGGGCAAATCTATAGAGAATGAATGCAAATCAGTGGTTGTTCAGGGGCTGGGAGATGTTCAAGGGAAATGAGAAGTGACAGATTTTGGAGGTGATGAAAATGTTTTAAAATTAATTATGATAAGGCTTATACAACTTTGTAAATATATTCAAAACCAAAGAATGGTACTTTAAATGGGTGAGCGATAAGGTTATATAAATTACATCTCAAAAAAGCTCTTATAAAAAAATTTGTTCCTCAGTATACTTGCCACATGGCAAATATTCAATATCCACACATAGCTGGTAGGCACTGGATAGGACAGCACAGGCATAAAACATTTCCATCTTCCTGAAAGTTTTACTGGACAACCCAGAGCCAGAATGGCTACATGTGAGGTTGTAAGAAGGGATGGATAGTGGCAACTATTTTGAAGGTAAAAATGATAGTTGTTATGATTTAAATATGAAGCACACCCCAAAGATTCATGTACTGAAGGCTTGCTCGCCTGTGCCAGAAAGTTCAGAGGTGGGGCCTTAGGAAGACCTACAGAGGTCTAGATAATATGGACCATTAATGGACTTATCCCTAATTAATAACTGACCAGGCTATTAGGAGGTAGGCCCAGGTGGAGAAAGTAGTTTGTGGGGGTGAGGAAGGACATATCTTTGAAGGGTATATCTCATCTCTGGTCCTTCCCCCTCTCTCTGTTTCTTGGCTTCCATGAGATGAGCAGATTTCTTCTGCCACAATGCTCTGCCTCACCACAGCCCAGAAACTAAGGGAGCCAAGTAACCATGGCTCATGAAACCCTGAGCCCAAATAAATCTTACCTACTTTAAATTGATTTTCTCAGCTGTGCCA